GAAAAGATCGATGATATAATCAAGGAACAAATGTGTGATGCTGATATAGTTTATGTTCGAGGTCACCAGAAAAAGGACTTTCTCGATGAAAAAATTAGTAAAATTGATGATGATGGTCAAAGATGCCCGAAAATAATAAACCTGGAAACTCTAGATGCCACCTGGACTTCTTCGATGACAAAGTTTAGTCGAGATATTCCAAAATGTATGAGTCATTTAACTGATAAGAATTATATGTGTAGTTTAAGAAATTGTTTTGTTATTCATAATTGGATTTCTGATTGTATGCCTATATAATTTCTAGAATTAAAATAAAATTTAAGTATAAAAAATGGTATTTTTATTTATTAGTAACAAATCAGCCATGGTCGCGTTAACATCAAGTTTTGTGCTCTTGACTGCATTAGTAAATGGCGTATTTTATATTCATCAGCCTAGAAATGCACAAAGTGTCTTTATTTGTCTCAATATGACAGATGAAACTTGGCCGCAAAATTGGGCTGAAATGAAAACGGGTTATGTTGAAAATGTCCCAATATTTTGCATAAAATTGTCTGACAAAGTGACCCAGTACAAGATAAGGATTTTATATCCTAATCGTACACACGGAGACAGTGACTGGAAGAACTTTACTATGCTCCCACCACCACCACCACCACCACCTCCGAAACACTTTGATGACATCAACTCAACAACAACAACAGCACCTCCAACGATAGTGACGTCACCAGCCGACTTTGATTTCACCATCGTTGGACTAGTCTACTACATAACATTCGTGGCATCAGTGCAGCTACTCGAGTCCATGGGAAAATTTTACTATGCGAATTTCCATTAACTTATCAGAAAACGTGACGCATTACAAATTAAGGATTCGATATCATAATCATACTCATCGATATAGTGGTGAATGGAGAAAACCACCGAGACAGCAGATAGTTAACAATAACTCAATAAAAACACCTCCGACGATAGTGACCACTGTATCATCAGTATTGAAATTTACTGTCGTTGTATTAGTCTGCTACATATCATTCGTGGCAGCAGTACTACTACTTGAGCCTATAGGGAAATTTTTCTATGTAAAATGGGTGCACGTCAGATAAAGCCTGAATATATCGATGAACTTCATGATTCAATCAATAATAATAGGTCTCCAACAAAGTTTGACAAGTATTTCATCAAGACGCTTAACACAAAGCTGAAAATACCAGAAGAAACGTTGATTGAATTAATGAAACCGTGCTGGGGACATAGACTTGATGCAAACGCTATTGGAGGCTATGACGTAATTGATGGTCCTGAATATTCATTTAAAATTGATTGTAAAACATGTGTAAATTTATTACTCAAAAGATAAAAAAATAAAAATATATAGTTGCAAATTACTTGTGTGTTTTTCTATGTTATATTAAAAAATGAGATAAAAAGGGTCTTCGATGTACTAAAACATGTTAGTATGCATTAAACTCTAGTGCAAGCATGAAGTGCCTTGAATTTTTATTATTTTGTCAGTTGTGCCGAATTAGTCTGAGCCTTGTTGAACCTCGTGATTTTCTAATTGCTTATGGTTATCTGAAAAATGAAACAGCAACCGATAACAGTACAGGTGTTAGTGCAGTAACTGATATATCGGAAGCTATAAGCGCTTTTCAAGAATTTTACCATCTGAAAGATATTGATGGTCAGGTCAATAATGAAACGCTAAACTTAATGTCTAGACCTCGCTGTGGTGTGCAAGATGTTCCTGAATCATTTACATTAAACGATGGTAGATGGACAAAAAGAACTTTAACTTGGCAGATTAATTATATTCCCTTTGGTTATGCTGCAAAGGAAATTCATGCTGTAGTGCAAAAGGCCTTCAAACTTTGGTCTGATGTAACAAATTTGAAATTCATCAATAATTGGTCCTCATCAAAACCGAACATAATGATATCATTTGGAACACAACAGCATTCCTTCAACAGCAAATGTACAAAATCACCATGTAAATTTGATTTTGATGGGAAAGGACTGGTATTGGCTCATGCTTATCCTCCGACTGGTGACGATAATGATTGTATCGAGATTCATTTGGATAGAAGTGAAGATTGGTACTTTGGATTGGATGGAAAAATATCTAATTATGGTCAAACGAGTTTGCTGTGGGTATTAGCTCATGAAATTGGACATACATTAGGATTAAGTCATTCGGATGAAACAAATTCCTTAATGTATGCATATTATGGTGACATTTCCAACTTAAGTACTGATGATGTAAGAGGAATTCAGCACCTGTATGGGAAAAAGCAAACACAGAATTCAGCTACCACAATTTCCACGCCTCCTTCTCATCCTAAAACTACTCCTCCTACTACTACTACTACTCATCGTAAAACGAGTACTCCTACATCCTCTAAAAGTACTACTACTAGTACTACTACTACTACTACTACTACTACTATTCCATCATTGGTACCTGCACACAAACCGACAAATTATCAGGATATTTGTAAGGTAGATCCTAAGGACTTACAATTTTTGATATTGCATCAAAAGCTATATATCATTAACAAAGATCGAGTATGGATAATGGATTTGGAAACAAAAAATTTCACTTCAAAGGACTTATCTATTCATTCAGTGTTACCGTTTTTACCTAAATTCGAGAAAATAACTGCGGTTTATCAGAGACCTTCCGAAGAAATCATAATTATTATTGAATCTGAAATATTCGCCATCAATGATAAAAACTTCCAGTTAATTAGAAAATCAAACGTTTCGGAAACAATTGCAGCACAATTCAACAATAGGAAAATAATAGGTGCAGTAAATTCGTATGCTGGAAAAACTATTTACTTTTTCGAGGATAATTACTATTTAATAATAAATGAATGAAACTTTGGCGTGGAAAAGTTTGGTTACATTTCGAAGGACTTTATTGGAATAACTTCATCTATCGATAGTGTTTTCAGATACATAAATGGGATGCTATACTTTTTCCAAAATGGCCGATATTTCGAATATAATGAGTTTACAAATTCTTTAAGGACATCAGATAAAATTGATTTATTAAAATTTGATATACAATGCCCCAATTTAACTTTATATGAACAATTGAAAGAACTATTGACACGTCTATTATTGGTTACGTAAACAAAATGCAGCTCATCATCATCAGTCGTTCTCTAGAGACCGTGAACTGCACACTTGCTGAGAGAATTCAAAATCATCTAGTAAATCTCTCTAAATTGATAAAAGACTTTTACCAAGAAAAACAGTTACTGTTCAAAAATTTTGAAAATTTAAAAATGGATTCGAAATGGGATGGAGTATTTTCATCAACTTCTAGATTTGCGAATGGATCAGCAACAAGCAATCGGAAAATTGTTCCAAAACCAGTTTATCAAGAATATAACATTGGAGACATTGTGCAAATTATCTATAATCCTGAGAAAACGTACATCGTCTTACATAATAAGAACGACACTTCAATTCAATTTACCTACAACGAATTTGAGGAATTTTTACAGTTTTTCGATAATATAAATGATGGATGGTTGGATACAAGCTTCTATATTGGCGAATTCATTTACGTTAGCTATTGGAATGAGGAAGAAAGTAAAGGCTTGACTATGGTGGATAAGCGAACAATGAAAAACATTTATTGGAATGAAAATCATCTTGATTCAATTTTAGAGCATAAATATAACTTGTATGATATTTTTCTTAAATAAAAATAAAAATTCAAACTTGTTCTTTTTCTATCCTATAACAAAACCCACAATAACTTGTGTAATATTCCATAAATAAAACAATTATTAGATAATTATAAAAATTCGTTATCGTCGCAGGAAATGCGGCTTCCGTGTGATAAGCAAGTTCGCACACAAGTTGCTCTTCTTGTTGTTGTTTGTTTATGAGAACGGTAGAAATTATAATTATTTTAAAAATAATATTTGGGGCCCCCCAATTAAATCGTTACAAGTCCGTGAAAAATGGGGCCCAAATTGGAGCACTATTTTTTCAATGATGATGATGATGATGATGTTGTCTTTTATGTGACCATATTTTTAGTTTAGAAAAATGGGGCCGACGACGACGAAAAAAGGGGGCCCAGTACGGCGTATCTTGTTACAAGTACCAGGTACGAGGTACCAGGTACGAGGTAGCAGGTAGGAGGTAGCAGGTACGAGGTACCAGGTACGAGATACGCGGTATCAAATTTCAGGTTATGAGTTCTAGGTACGTTGTACAAATTTCAAATTACCAGCACGAGATATGGGACATCAAATTTCAGGTTATGAGTTCTAGGCTACGTGCGCCTCAAAATTTGGGGGCCTGTATTGGTTCCATATACGATGATGGATAATGGGGCCGCGGGTCTAGCTGCGGAGCCAAGTGGCCCCTTTCCGATTTTTCCCTAGATTTAGGGAAATTTTATTGGCAACGTTGCACATTATCAGTTTCGGCAACGTCGCACGTACCTGTCATCTCGTATGGGGTATCTCATTTCAGGTCATGAGTTCATGTAAATGGGGCCCCCGAAAAAAAAAATGGGGCCACGGGTCTACCAGCGGGGACAAGCACGTATGGCCCCTTTGCTATCGTCACTTGGGTTAGGTCTATTCAAATTGGGGGCTTGCTACTTAGGTTAGGCCTCTTTAAATTGGGGCTTGCCAAAAAATGGGGCCCACGAAAAAATGGGGCCACGGGTCTAGCTGCGGGGACAAGCATGTGGCCCCTTTGATGACGTCACTTGGGTTAGGCCCCTTCACTTGACGAAAAATGGGGCCCACCGAAAAAATGGGGCCCTGGAGTGGGGCACAGGCCCACCTGGTGGAGGCCCCTTCAATTTGGGACTTCTCTGATGACGGGCACGGGCCCCAGAACGAGAATGGGGCCACTTCCGGTCTAGAACCGGCTTAGTATATCTACTCGTGAATCATGGACCAAGAGGCAGGCCGAAGCGCGGAAACGCATCTCGACAAAATTATAATTCAATGAAAACTGAGAATATGCGTGAACAGAGATCAAAAATTTCCATGGATGACTTAAATGAGGAGCTGAAGAAGAAGCTATTTCCTGGAATTAAGAACGCGCAGTCAGCGATGTATAGGCTGGAGAGCCTACAGACAGCAAAGGCTGTTGAGTTGGCCGTCACTACCCGCCAGATAGGTTTCGGTGTAGTACATTTATTTGTGGCATTGCGTCAGTTCAATAACGTAGCGATACAAGGAAATGTTTATTAAGCTTACCGGGTATGTCTCGCCGTGATGGAGGCGAAGATAATTATCAGTAAGCGCGGAATCACCGCACCTCAGTTAAATAACGAGGATTTTTTATGAGTTTCAAGCAAATGAAAACTTTATCGTGACAGCAAAGTCGTTACCCATCCTACCTGAGCGAATATCAATGGCTGTGAATTCGATCGGACAGGTTAGAGTTGGAGACAGGCTATACGTCCCAAAGATTGGACGTATTAATGAGAACAGGGCTGGTAGATTTATACCACAACCAGAGCAGATTACATACTCCAATCTGCGTAGAACTGTAGTTGCTCTGTCGCAAGGCGACACGCCGGTAGAATATCGGAGGAGGTTTTATAGAAATAACCCGATACCAGGAACCCGTTGGAGAGGTCAGCCTGATAACCCAGTGCTCGAGAATCCAGGTGATATAATGTCCGACAATTATAATGTTGGTGATCTGGATAATGATATAGCCGCGATCAAGACTAAGTTGACGTTCTTAAATCGGAAAGCACCTAAATACTTTTCCAAACCAATCAGTTTTGAGCCTAATGGGAATAAGAGCTTGTTAACGTGTAACGAACAGGGAACGTTACGAATTAATGATCGGCTAGCGAATCAAGATATTTTAGCTTATGAAGCTGTCTTGAGATTAGAATAGAAGATTTCTATAATTTAGAAAAGTTAACGTCATCTGAACAGACGGCTCTCTCTCCCTGCTTGGGGAATTGCCAAATAGCGTGAATCTACGCTACCCAATGTACCTTATGCGCGATATTCGTGCAAGCGTGGAGACTAGTAGTCTGAGGTACAGAGGTACTTCAAATCTGAAGTATACTTAATTTGACTGAACTGTTGAGTCCTTGCTCGGGCGCCAATTTTGTAGCGCCCTTTCGGTTTTTCCTTTTCTTGCTTTAACGGTTATCTCAGGCGCCACCCTCAGGATTATTGTGGTTGAGGGCCCACGTGCACCAGGTAGCTTGTTACAGTGGAGATCAGGGGTCGAATCAGATGCTGGAAGTTATTCCTTCATAGCGTTAAAGTCGTAAAGGTTGTGCTACGGGCTAACGGGCTACAGGAAGATGGGATTCCGGTAAGTACCATTATTAAACTTTTATAAATCGTCTAGTGTCCTCATCGGCCATCATTCTACATCTCTATTCTCAACTGTTGATGAAACCGCCATGTAGAGTGGCTGGTGTGTTATCGTGCAAGTCTGATTGAAGCATGCGAACGATGTCGTAATTAATTCATATAGTTTCTAGCTTTGTTTCATTTTTATTATTGGTACTTTGACATGGATAAATAATTTATTTTCTGTGTATGAACAGTCGCAAATCTGGATTTGGTAATATTTAGAGATCTCAGTTACGTGGATGGCTAGTTTGTTGAATCTTCCCTTAGTATTTGTGGATGAATTATGTCTGCTGGTATTCTATGTTGTTTGCATGATTGCATGATGGCTTGCCTTCTGAGACTCCGAGTGATCATAACCATCTTCCTCAAGTTTATGCACTGAAAGTATAATATTGTAGACGTCATGCGCCATTTTTCTAATTTGTCCTCTAACTCTTCAGAGTGTCGCTCTATAACCTTTATTCTAAGCTCAGTTTCTCTAAATGTGCTCGCAATCGATTCGTCGTATTCTTTAAATGCCTTGGAGTTTTGCCTTATTTCTTTTAGCACTCCTGACAGTCGACAGTCCTTGGGTCATTCTCATTAATTTGTCCTTATCGTTGTCCTCAGATTCCTCTACTAATCTTAGTTTTCCATTGTGGCTACTCCACAACACCATGATAAAGCAGATCCAACAGAGTCTAGAGCACGTTTTCCTCTAGTGTTTTTGTTTTCTTGCCTCATTAATTGAGCATCCCAATTCTCGTTTAATAGAATAAATTCCTTTAAAAATGCCTTGGATAAACTATCTTTGTTTTGATTATTACCTTCACGTTAATAATATAGGTGGACCATTTTATTGGTATTTTCACCCCCTATCTGTCAATGCCTGAGCGGGGATGACAGGTACCCTCAGAATTTAGAGAGACAGGGGGGTCGAGTGATGCGTCATTTGATAGCAATTTTTACCAAGATTATATGCTTGAAATTTCAAGTTGCTACTATTTACCTTGCTGAAATGGCGGCTTGTCAAAGTTAGGAAATAGTACATTGTATCCCTTGAACCTCTTTTCCATTTGAAATTTTGCCGGTACCTACTTGTTACCGTCTCCTCCGCTCAGGGGTTGACATACAGGGGGTGAAAATACCAATAAAATGTGTCCCCCAAAAAACAAACATTGACTTGTCCGAGTGGTTTTTGATTATTTACCTAACACCTGAGAAAACCTAGGTGGAAAGCTTTTCGTGCCCCACCCTGTAAAACTTACAAACTATCTGGAATTTTTTCATTCAAAACAATCGATAAACATTCACTAAAACCTTCAGCAGCAAACTTTATCTAACTTCCGTTGCCCTTGGGGGTGTCCACTGTCGGCCATTTTGGAGAACCGCCGCCACAGCTGTCAAGTGGCAATTGGCCGATGGCTCCACATCCAAATTCAATCATATTACATCGGTCTACCTCTGTGCCAAATTTGGCGCCTTTATCAAAAAGTGCACAATATGTTGAAATATCCTAGCTAAGCTGCCGCACTATATACACATCTTATATATTTTCCTGAAATAAGTGATTAAGTACATTGCTTAAATCTAATAATATAAAATACGAGCTTGAAGGTTTCTTGAACCGTGAAATCTTAGAGTGCTAATTAGGTGATTCTGCTATTTCAAATTAACTTTTTTTTCACACAATTGCAGTGTTACTTCTCATGATTCCTGAAAAAATGTTCCTCTGTTGCCTAGGGACTTTAAATTGATGATGATGATGTTTCCGATTAATGCAACATTTTGCTGACTGGTTTTATTAGTTCTCACCGCTCACAATGGTACCTATTTAGTTTAACATAAGTTCTGACGAGTACCGTGCCGTTCGATATTGTGCTTCGTGTGATTGGGAAGAGGCTCTTTATACCACTCATTTAGGCCGGATTATCGAGTTTCTTTCGCCCTTTACGCCAGCATCCTGCGAGCGGTGCCGCAGCCGTCACTTGGCGTCCGTTGCGTGGATGTACCGAAACGGTGTTTGGTGCCGTACACTCTTCCGCCACGGAGTCAGAGGGCCCGGTACTATATGTGGATGTAAAGGTCAAGGTAAGCAGAAACTATTTTAATCTTCCAAGGAACTGCATTTTTAAAACATTGGTAGTGTAGTTTTCTTCGCTCCATTGACATGATTTATTCTAGAGATTTCATTAGTAAATTCGATATTTTCGTCACGTTCTAAAAAAAGTCATTAGTCTTTCAGTGGGGTAGCTTCTGGAACCCATGGGTCATAATAGGGTAGTATCCTACTCACCTGAACTACATCTTTCTTTGCTGAGCTAGTTTTCCCTTTCTGAAAAAATATCTGTAATTTATTGCAATACCTGACGCACCTGGCGCATTGAATCCGACAATTCAAGTCAGAGTATCAGCACAGCAAACAAAAATTCGAGACGCAAAGACCTCAATAACATTGACCAGATGCTGTTGTGTTAACCATCATTCCACTTTACCATGGGGAATAAAACCACCACCGCCCAAGATAAGGAAATGTTAAACCCAATCTCAGGACACAAAAGTTTACTATAAGCCAGTAGCAACAGTTATAATGCACCATCAAAAGTAAACAAATAACATGACCCAGAAGCTAACCGGGATGTAGGTCAACTTCAGGCCACTAAGCATGAGCACCGTCGTCCGCAAAGCAACTTGGCGCTCGGCGGGAACTATCGATCGAACACCTATTGATCGAACTTTGTGTAAACAAAGTCAAATACCACATACTCCGCACCCCGAACTTATCATTTGTTAACAGTGAAGGTAGAGCCATATGATCATATTGGTCACAACCAATGACATCCAACGCATTCAAATTGGTTCATTCAATGGTTTGGAAGCTACGTCAAAGCCAGATACCAGACACCGCTAGCAGTAGCAGCAAGCCGGTCAGAAAAATCACCAGTCAAACGAAGAAATCAGCAAATGGAAGAATCAGCAAATGGACAGAACAGGAAAAGGCACACTTCAATTTCATTTATCAAAATTGTTAATTTTTTTTTCTCTCAGCGTTTTGACAGGGTAATCAATATAATTTTTTCTCTTTCAATGTATACTCAATTTTCCATAAGTATTTTTTATGTGTAGGTTTGTATCGTTTTATTTGGGCTAGTAGGTAAAGGTAAAAATAACTCTAATTAGAAAATTCAAAACTTTTGTTTTATTTTTTATATAACAAGTTTAAACTTGTTTCATTGATTTTTTTTTTGATTCTCACTTATTCTATCATACTTACCTATCTACCTACCACTCCTGATTTTATACTTTATTCGAATTTGGTTGAAAATGTTTTAAATATTTTTTATAGTCCAAGGAAAATGGTTGTCACTGATATTTTTTTTTATTATATATTTTTTTTTGTAGGAATTATCAATAGGAAATGTACTTAAGAAAATTTAATTGTTTTAGGTAACCATTAACTTTTAACTTTTAGGTTTCAACTTTAACTTTTGTCAAATTGTACTTGTAACTTGTATTAATTTTGCTTTGTTTTTATAATTAATTTCTTTTTCTTTTCTTTTAAAATATTTTCAATTTTTTTTCAAACGCTATGATTTAATTTTTTTTTTTTTAGATCTTTTATCGCTTGGGCCCAGCTTTCTGTAGTCCGAGGAAAATGTCAAGCCAAAAAATATCACCTTTTATAACATTATTATTCCAATACGAATTAACCAAAGTTCATTGACTAATAATGTCCCAATTTAGTTGGGCAATTCGGATGTTATATTAAATAAAGGAAACGCATTCGGATGTCAGCAAAAAAGCTTAAAGCCAACAACCTAGGTTTGGGGTTGGATAAATAGGATTTGGATCGATAAAGCGTAATTTTCAAGTTGTAAATCTAA